AGCCTCTTCAACAGTTGCGTATGGTTTTACAATGACCAGGTCAAAGGGTTGTATAGGTTCTTAAAAATTGCCAATACAACTTAACTACATTTTATAAGAATATACATTTATTAACCACTTTTTATGTTAAACAAGATGTACCTATTTAACTCTGTTGCTTGCTATTATAAAACCTTAAACAGGTTCAGGTTCAGCTGCAATCCCTACCCCAATCATTTTCGTACAGCCCCTTAGACACCACTAGGTGCAGGTTTTCTTTGTGATTTGAGTGAACTGACCCTTTCAACTTAACTTTCAGGCTCCTCATATTATTTTGAGAATGGAGGTTACCGTTTCAATGCAACGGTGACAGTGAAGGCAGATTACGAACAGCTGATGTCCAAGAACAGAGGACTTCTGAATCACACAAGATTGCTACAAGCAATGGTAATACTACTGCTAACACTAATACTGCTCTTACTACAGCTATTAAGACCTCTGCTGCTTATATAATAAGACTGTGCTGCCAAGACCACTTGCCAGCTACCAATACTTGCTCTGATAATTCTGTTTATTGGAAAATTTAGATGATTAAAACATAGAAGATAGATAAGCCAAGGCATCCAGTGTCTGTTTCAGAGTCATTAAAGATTTTACTTTTTTCATTAGTTTGACACCCATTATTTGTTTGTGTCTCTATCACTAATAGGTGACTGGAGCGCTGGAGTCTGAAGTTTCAGTTTATTACCTCAGCTCATGGCCTGTGCATCCCTATAGAACTGCCACCTCACTGCTGATCAACTGCAACTCTACTCTTTCTCTGCACAATGTCACATCAAAGCTGCATCTTCTCCTCAAACACATACAGGAGGTGTCATCTGTAACCGTGGAAGGTGAGGAGACGTGGTTGTTCTGTACAGCAGCGCTCATCTCTCAGTACATGGGGCTTTTTTTTGTCTTCTTTAGAGAAATGACATTCTTGTAGAGTTTTGAGAGTGATTCATGTTGCAGAGAACACAGTGTTCAGGAAAAAATGACTCAACCGCACCACAGTTTCCTTCTCCCACCACTTCTATTTGAGTGACAGTCATCTGTGGGATGTTTCCTGCAATAGCGGAAAATAACACCAGAGCGAGTGCATACACACACGTGCTCAAACACAGCAACCCCCCACCCCCACCCCCCCCGCACACGGACATGAATCAGTCATACTTGTTTTGCATTTAAGACAGTAACAAGCTCGCCACACACTCAAACACACATTAAAATGTTCTTTTACAGATAATAGATTTCCTTCTCTACACTTAATGCCAGCGTGATAATGTACCGCCACCTATGCATTATTTAATTGAAAGATACCGGTAGAAAGAAGACAACTGAAGACGTATTTAAAGCAACAGAACAGCATTCTTACCTTAAACATTTACTCTTCTAAAACAAATGCGGAACCACAATTTCACAAACTAAATGCCTTTCCCTATAAATTATGTTTTGTTTGTTTTTTTCATTGTTCACTCATTTTGTTTTAAATAAAATTGTAATTATTACTCCTGTTGCATGCATAACCTTAATTCAGAGGCATGCATGTGCAATGTAATGTGTCCAGTGCAACCCCTTCATATGCCTGTGTTTAATTGCAGATGTAGATGAGTGTGCACAGTCTGCTCTCCATCAGTGTTCTCTTCATGCACACTGTAACAACACGGTGGGGTCCTACCACTGTGCCTGCCAACAAGGATATACTGATGTTGAGCCCAGCAACCCTGGAGCCAATTGTACAGGTTAGACTGTGTGTGTGTGTGTGTGTGTGTGTGTGTGCATGTGGAAATATATACATTTACTGTTTTACCATGTGGTGAAGGAACAATTAACAGTCAAAGGTTCTTCAAAAACAAACCATAACAACAATAAAAACAAAAACAAACAATAACAGTAAGTAAGACAAACAATAAGTATAAACAATAATATAGATATTATTTTCTTCATTTATATTATCTAGCAAATAATAAATTATGATTAAACTGGTAATCATGTTTTCCATAGTAATGTTAGTATACAAAAAGCCAAATAACTCTTATTATTATTATTATTATTATTATTGTGTGTTATTTATTTCTGTATTATTATGTGTTATTTATTTCTGTATTATTATGTATTATTTATTTCCGTATTATTTATTTTTTGACTATTCTTTAATGTTTTGTTGATTGTTTAGGTTGTTGGGCCTGATTTTCGGTTGGTGTAAAGGCGTTTTTTTCTGTGTGTTGTATTGTCTTGTTTGTCCTGAGTTATGGCATGTGTTTGTGAATAAAAACAATCTAACTACAATTTCCAGTGTCAAAAATGAACCTATAAACTCAATAAATAATGGTATATTTCCATCCTTACTACAATATCTTTGATTAATGGTTAGTTTAGTGTCTTTATTAAATTTATCTGTAATTAAGTCAGCTAAAATTTTCAGCCCTCAGTAGTGTCTGCATAACAAACTAACAGCCAACATCAAAATGGCAGCTTGCATGTTGCGTAAGAGGCAAAATCCAGGGCAAGAAAAGACTGAAAGTCAAAAAAGGGAAGACAATGTGATGTGTAAAAATGTGTATATCTTTCCATATTATTTGCTACTTTATTGATATAGATAAATGAGCAAGATTTTATTCAGTTTACAATAGGCAAAGATATTTGCACAATTGAATAATTCTTAGTGAGGGATACGTGTCTCTTTGGTATTTTTTGTAATTATCAAACAAACATGTCAAAGTGTGAATAGAGTGTCACAGGGGTGGATTCCAACAGCTAACAGAGAAGACCAGAGCCGAAGATAGAGAGAGAAAGAGTGAGTTGTAATATCATGTTTCCTGGTAAATGATGTTTACTGTATGTAGGTTTACATACACATTCTTATCAGGGTCACATCAAAGGGAAACACCCTCAGATTCTCACTATCTTGCTGAAGGGTGAAAATTAGGAACAACTTTGAAAAACAGCAGAGAAATATTCATCACCTGCTCTAACAGTCGTGTAAAAATCACAAGAAGTGTTTCATCAAAGACAGAAACAACACACACCGCCGCCTTAAAATGAACGCGCACAGTGGGAGGCCGCAACCTGTGCCAAAGTAGTTCCTCAAGCCAATCGAAGCTGCTTGAACCAGGAAACTGTGGTTAGATGTGACAACATTCTGTCATCACTGCAAATCTCACCTGGAGGCGGTGTGACTTTTATTTATTTATCTTTTTTTTAAACACAGAGATGCTAAAAACTGACTCATGATGTCAGCCACTGTAGAAAAGCAGCTGAGTTTCTGCTTCATAGTCACTTGGTTAACAATATAATGTAGCTGGCCAGACCTACCCAAGTCTTACAACACATTAACATCTTGCATCAGAGGCTTTGATTTCAACATCAACTTGTATTCTTTCTTCCTAGCTGACATCAGTGTGCCAACCACCACAGAGCCCGGGCTTACCTACTTTCCACCCATAAACACAACCTACACCCCAGCTTCAAACACCCCACAGCACCCTCAAGGCAATGTCACCACGGGTCTCCTTAACTCCACTGAGACAAGCATGACTACCGCTCTGACGAATACAAGCTCTGTCCCTTATAATTCATCACATGCTCCGCAGTGGACAAGTTCTGCACCTTACACCAGCATGGACTCAACTGTAGAGTCACCTCTGCCAACAACCACATGCTGTAAGAAATATTTTATTTTTATCTCAAGGCTGCTTAAAATCTTAATTCACAAGCCAAGGAAGTGGGTGTTTTTGAGTGAAAATATAAAATTTTATCAAAACTGTTTCATTTCAAAGGTGCTGATGAGCTCTCTAGACATTCAGTTTAATGTGGTTAAAGTCATTACTTTACATCTTTTGATTAAATTCATCCTCTAGCTGATGCAGTTGTCTGGAATTTTGGGGAATACAGTTATTTTCTTTCTTGCAGAGAATTAAATGAGATTGATGATTTATACCACTCTCATAACTGTAAGGTAAATATTAAAGGACCAGTGTGTAGGATTTAGTGGCATTTTGCGGTGAAGTTGCAGATCGCAACCAACTGAACACTGCTGGCGTCTATATTTGACGACCTGGGAATGAGAATGGACTGTGAAGTGTAAAAGAGAAACTACGGTGGCTGCAAAAGGCCCTAGCTGCAGCCAGTGTTTGGTTTGTCCCTTTTGGGTTACTGTAGAAACACGGCAGACTCCATGGGAGGCAACCCATGGTGTCTGTAGATAAAAACGTCTCATTCTAAGGTAACAAAAACACAATCTATATTCAGGTGATTATACACTAATGAAAACATGCTGAATATTATATTTCTGCCAATACACACACACTGGACCTTTAAGTATATTAGCCGGTTAGCTTAGCACAAAGACTGGAAACAACTACCTTGGCTCTCTGTCCAAAGGTAACATTTGCCTACCAACATCTCTGAAACACACAGTATATGTTTGTTTAATCTGTATAAAATCCAAAGTGTAAGAATGTTTGGGTTTCCTCCACCTCCGTTAAAGAGCAGCGCACCGACACTCCCTAAGCTCTTCTGTGGAATGATGTCCCTTGCAGTGGCTGAGACAGTCCGAATGTTGCCAGGATTAAGCAAACAAGATATAAAATGTTAATTACTGAGCTTTAGAGGTGCTGGGAGGTGGATTTAGTTAATTTTGGACAGAGCCAGGCTCGCTGTTTCTTGTTTCCAGTCATTGTGCTAAGTTAAACTAAGTGGCTGCTAGCTATAGCCTTATATTTACGTAAGGACATGGGAGTGATCAGTTACTAAGACACTAAGAAGTCAAATAAGGGGTATTTGCCAATAAATGTGAAACTCTTTCTTTAACCACAATGAATGAATGATAACCTTGTTCACTGTACCTTTCCCTCCTCCACTACCCACCACCACCTTCCAGCTCCGCCCAGCATCACCAGCTTGAGGTTGGCTAACGTCACTGGAACCTCCTTCCATGTCTACTGGTCCAGCCAGTTGCAGACCAACCAGACTTACCAGGTTGTTGTAAAAAAGAGGTCAGAGGTCATTCATAATAGGGAAACCAGTCAGTCAATGATGGAGGTTGGGGGACTGCAGCCTGGGGTGCTCTACAATGTTACTGTCACACCTTGTGTTTGTGGAAGCCAAGGAATCGCCCTCCATACATCAGTCCGGACTGGTAAGAAGTGTGCACAAAAAGGAAGTTGCTTGTTCCAGAGCCTTTGATTTTTGGATCTTTTCTCATCATGTAGACAAACACTACACACTAGTGAGTGCATAGCTTACAGTGAATTGTTACTTTTACCCATAATGAGTTGTAACATGATATACTATTTCAGTTTTAATGATAGTGTTATATTGTTGCTATCACTTCCATCTAAATATCAGTTTGGAAAAAAAATTTAATCGAAGTTGACAAAATGGCAAAATTTGATTACTCCCACTATCAGATCAGCAAAAGAAAAAACATGGGAAATGTATTTTCCTGAACTACAGGGGCAGGAAGTGACTTACACAGATTTTTTAAAGTAAGATAAGATGCAACCACGGAGTAGTAAGTAAAGCGATAAAATTGCCCTTAATGTATGATCGGACGGGGTGAAGCCATGGGCTGGTAAGAGGGCTACCCTTTAATTATGGGAAATGTGTTTATTGTACCAAGTGTGGCTCTTTCTTTGTAGATGCTCAGAGTCTTGACGCTACAGCACGGCTTACCAACATCCAGTTCACTACCGATCTGCACAACACCAGCAGCCAGGCCTACAAAAACCTCACTGAGAGTATTACACAGGAGGTACAGTACGTGTGTTACAAGGATTATCCAGTAACAGAATATGATCTTTGAATAGTATTCCACACACTGTAAGCATGGCCATTTCAATGAATGACAACGCTGAAATAACAAGTTTTATTGTTTTATTCACTCATCCATCATTATTCTGGCTGTGGGGCTGTTTCCTTTTGTCACCAACAGATCTACAAGTCTCTGTCTCCAGAGATGAAGGCCTTGGTGGATTCCGGCCAGGTGAGAATTGAAATCAGAAGCTTCTTCCCAGGGAGTGTGGTGGTCAACTTCACCATCATCTTCACACCCAATCAAAGCCAAGACATCAGTAATGTGTCTACAGCTCTGCTGAACTCCCTGATGAACAGCACCAAATACACTGTGGATGGAAACAACACAAGCGTAATTGGTAAGTCTCTTTCTAATCTCTGTTCTAACAATATGTTTTATGAAACCACGGCTGATAGGTGTAAAACTCCTAGGAGATGCTTGAAAGAATTGTCTTAAAATGCTAAAGGTGACTTTCAGTAAAAGGCAAATTAGATTTTACACAACAAGATTAGTTTAGATTAGTGAACAGTGTTTTTTGAGAATAGAAGTGGCACCATCAGCTTGGGTTTAGATTATCAAATTATTCAAATTATTACCAGAAAGAAGTACAGTCAGCATTTATCAGGCAAGGAATTGCATTGTGGGAATTGTAGAGGCCTAAAAGACAAGCTATCTCAACCTCTGCTGCCTCTATTTTGACTTTTTTGGGACTTATTGAGACAAATGTTTTTCTTTTTGTAGATTTTAATGAATGTGCTTCAGGGGAAAATGACTGTTCCCAGTGGGCTGCATGTATAAACACCTGGGCCTCCTACACATGTGTTTGCCTGGACGGATTTATAGACAACAACCCAGAAAGGGCTGGACGAGCCTGTCAAGGTACGGTATCAGGGGTATCATCAGGAAGTGGTAACGGGAGACATTAAATAAATAGATTGGCACAAACAGTTTTTTTTTTTTTTTTATCTATTTAGTGCATTAGATTAAATGCACCAACTAATATAAATAACAAAATATAACACCACCGACCCACAATATTTTCTACAGTTAGCGCTACTCCTTTTTCTCAAACAACACCCCCAACCAATGATCCAGCTTTAATTACTCCAGGGATTACCATTATATCAATAACTACATTCACATCTACCTATCTGGTTTCAGCTCTCCCAGTTGTGATCACCACTCCAACAACTGCTACTGCCCCGTCAACCACCACTTCTGCCCCTACAACCACCACATCTG